AGAAAACTTCCCGGTGCCCAGAATGAGTCTTGCTGCTGCATTTTGTACACGCTGTAATTTAGCGATCTGCGCTTGGCAAGCCAAACAAATAAACCATTACAATAGTCAAGACGGCTGGTTATAAAAGCATGAACCAAAGTAATTAAAGAATATCTCGACAGCTATTTCTTAACAGGTCTCAAGTTATGTAAATTATATTATAAAATGCCGCATTACAAGCCTTGTTTATATGATCAGTCATGCTTAAGTTGCTGTCAAACCACGATCCAAGGTTTCTAACACATGGGCTTGGACTGATACGAGTATTGCCCACAGTAATGGAACACGAATCTAGTTTATCAAGCTGTTGTCGTGTGCCGACCAGCAAAAACTCGGTTTTATCATCATCGATCATCAACCTATTTTCTTTTCGAAGTTTGTCGAACGCGCGTGATAAAATAATAAAAACCGCGGGGGGGGGGGTTATTGACCGCCAGTGCAAGGGGGTAGGGGTGGGGGAAGAAGATTTTCGAAAAGATCGAAAAGAAAAATAAAACAACGTCTGTGTACAGGCTTATGCAGAGCGTGAATCCTAATTAAAAAGGTGCCAATTTGGTCAAGTCTCTCTAGATTTGAATCCGAAATCTAAATCCGATGCCTTGTAAATTCGCAATGTTTTGTAGTGTAAACAATTTGTCCAGCTTATCCGGATACTTTTCCGCATTTGATCATATGAGTTTGCAGTAAAACCAAAATGGAACCGTCACTTTCATATAGGATGCCTTAGCAACGACGACGGCGAGGGCCGGGAACGAAATCTTTTTTTTTTTTTTAACTTTTTCGAGTTTATTTCCGTCAACTCTCTTAAAATGGCAAATATAGGTGAACTTCCCTGTGGAGTCTTGGGGACCGCATCCAAGTTCGGATCAGCGAAGAAATTGAATTTGTCCCTGTGTTTACGTCCTCCAAACAACGTCGCAAAAGGACATGTTTTACGGTGGTGTTCATACAAGTTGTCAAGAAAAGCGCCCTGGACGTGCAAAATTTGTTGTTTTTCTTTTACTTATTGGGCTCATTGCCGTCGCCGTCACCGTGGCCTTCGTTGTTGCTCCACGGATTTATCGACTTGTGTACACCGTTAGGAATTCGAACACGGTTTTAGTAAAAACGCCTGCCATCTGTTCACTAGATATATACAGTCATGTATGTTATCCAAGATTGGGTCCATTACAGATTAAATTACTTCGTTTTTCGGCAAACCGACATTTCAAGGGGTGGAGAGGGAAAAAAAATTCGTTGTTGTAGAAAAATATATATATTTCAAAGAAACAACCAGAGTTGAATGAATTAAGGCAAACTGTGCTCTTAAAATAATTATCTTTTTTTTTTCTTTCTTTTTAGAATTAACTTTTTATTTTTTTTTTATTTATTCATTATATATCTTTTTTGTGCACGACTTTTTTCAGGTATGCACGTGCGTACCGTGTGTACAGGTAGCTACGCTCCTGACTGTCTTCTCCTAGAAGCGACATGCAACTTTGATGTATCTTTGTGCGGTTTCGAGCAAGGCACAGATGACAAGTTTAACTGGACTCGACACAAAGGCAAGACACCTTCTACCGGTACAGGACCTTCTTTTGATCACACCACTGGAGACATGACAGGTGAACTGTAAATTTGCGATCGTGCGGTAAAATCTAGAAACTTACTTTAAGGCTGTCCTACTACTATTAGCAAAGAGAAATATAACATGTATTAAACTAATGTAAGAGCAGTCCGCTGCACATATTGTTAATTTTACAGTCAAAGCAGGTCAGGCGTACCCCCCCAAGATTCTGTTAATGAATTGATTATTTGAAAAATGAATCCGTTAGTGGTTCCAGTATCTTTTGTCAAATTCACATCGGCATTTCTGCATTCGTAATGAGCAGTGAATATCTAACGAGAACTCCTCTGTATTAGGTCAGATTGAAAATCTTTGAATAGATTATATTTGTTAGAAGATATTTACATCACATTCAGGGAAACTGAGCTGGTAGAAATTTCGTAACTGCCTCACGTGTGAATTCACAGCTCATTTCGCATGCAAGAATGCAGAGATGAATCTGAAATCTACAACTACCAACTACGATGGCCCAGGAGGGTCACAGTCCAGTATTGGTTTTTGACAGTCCAGTTATGGTTTTACGCAGTCTAGTTTTAATTTTTACACAGTCCAGTTTTATTTTTTTTTTACACAGTCCAGTTTTAAATTTTACACAGTCCATTTTTAATTTTTACACAATCCAGTTTTATTTTTTTTACACAGTCCAGTCTTATTTTTACACGGTCAATACACAGTCCAGTTTTATATTCTGTGTAGTTACCAGACCTCTCTCGCCCTACTGTAACACGTGTTATCTCACGGCAGCCATTTTGTATTTCCTGGTGACGATGGATTCAGTCATCAGGCAGGTTGTTCGAGAGGAACTGAAATGTTCAAATTCTAGTCGTCCAGAAACTGCGTCTTCTACTAATCAAGATGATCAGGGAAGAAGTGAAAACGAATCAGGTGCGGCTGGATCATCACGAACAGTGGGCCGTTTGGGGTGTTTTTAAAACGAAGACCCAAAAACGAAGACGTAAGACCCCCGGGGAGGTACTCCCTTATAAAAGCTTAATGGGGAAACCAGGGTATGTTTTTCGGGATTTTTGTCTTAAACAGGGTATCTATTTTATCAATTTTTCACACAGGGTATCTTTTCTTGGACGATAAACAGCCTGCGGGTATGTTCTACGAATGTCTTAAACAGGGTATCAAAATCAGAATTCTGTCTTAAACAGGGTAGGAAAATCAGCGATTTTTGTCTTAAACAGGGTCAGGGTATGAGGAGCCGGGCTGCACCTCCCCACCCAAGGATATATCGAGTACCCCCCCGGGCTAAGACCTAAGACCCCTTGGACTAAAACGAAGACCCTCTGAACTAAAACGAAGACCCCTGTGGATTAGATTCTTATGGCGATTTAGGAGTGTTGTGGAATTTCCTCTGCGCTATTTAATTGTGACAATGAAGTTTATCACTCACCTTTTCTTCGATCGACGGCTAAGAAAATATAACCGCGTGCTCTAGCGTTCTAAAATGTCGAACAATTGTATCGATCAATACATTTACAAAACAAAATAACCGGCATAAGGAGAAAATAACGAGACATTTAGCAATGATGAATTCAAGAAGAGGGGAACCTTGCGCTCTTTTTATTACTTTTTACCTCATCAATAGAAAAAAAGCCGTCGAACGAAAACATCACTCGATTAAAGGTGTACATTTCGAGTTTCATGCAATCAAGGTTCATTTGTATACATGCCGGGTTATATTTATATCCCTGTTACTTTATTCTGACCTCTATTGTTAAAAAAATGACTCACCTTTTACGGCTCAAACAGTTGTTATAATGATAACAAAATAAAAATGAAAGAAAAAAAAAGGAAAGGAAAAAGATACTCCTGTTTTGCAAGATTCGATCCCGAGAGACCTACCGATGAATCCAAGGACGTTACCACAAGACTACGAAAGCTTTCTCGAATACACGGTGGGAAAAATTTTTATTGAAACAAAAGTGACGTCATCATCACCGTAAACACATCCAAATTGTTTAGAGTTTAATCCACAGGGGTCTTCGTTTTACAGTTTTAGTCCAGAGGGTCTTCGTTTTAGTCCAAGGGGTCTTCGTTTTAGTCCAGGGGATCTTCGTTTTAGTCCAGAGGGTCTTCGTTTTAGTCCAGGGGGTCTTAGGTCTCCGTTTTTGGGTCTTCGTTTTGGAAACATCCCAAACGGCCCACCGTTCGTGATGAAAAACATACCCTGGCTTCCCCATTAAGCTTTTATAAGGGAGTACCTCCCCGGGGGTCTTACGTCTTCGTTTTTGGGTCTTCGTTTTAAAAACACCCCAAACGGCCCACTGTTCGTGATGATCCAGCCGCACCTGATTCGTTTTCACTTCTTCCCTGATCATCTTGATTAGTAGAAGACGCAGTTTCTGGACGACTAGAATTTGAACGTTTCAGTTCCTCTCGAACAACCTGCCTGATGATTGAATCCATCGTCACCAGGAAATACAAAATGGCTGCCGTGAGATAACGCGTGTTACAGTAGAGCGAGAGAGGTCTGGTAACTACAAAGAAAATAAAACTGGACGGTGTATTGACTATGTAAAAATAAAACTGGACTGTGTAAAAAAAATAAAACTGGACTGTGTAAAAATTAAAACTGGACTGTGTAAAAAAATAAAACTGGACTGTGTAAAAAAATAACACTGGACTGTGTAAAAATTAAAACTGGACTCTGTAAAAATGAAAACTGGACTGTGTAAAAACTAAAACTAGACTGTGTAAAACCATAACTGGACTGTGTAAAACCACCCTCCTGGGCCATCGTAGCCAACGGATTCAACTTTTGAATAAATAATTCATTAATGGGATCTTGGGGGGTACGCTTGACCTGGCTTGACTGTAATGTTGCCAGTTTTTCTACTTTATGCCACGGCCACTTTCTTTGGTTTAATTGTCTTTTTTGCTACTTTTTTTAGCTGCTTGAGTATTTAACTCTTGAAAGTATCAGGCGAAAATATCTAATTTCCTGCCACTTAGTGCAATACGAGGACGTTGCAGTCACTCTTTACATCCGGGGGGGACTTTGTTCATTTCTTGTAGCGTTTCCTCGTCCTCTCAAATCCCGAAAGAAGGGCGTCTTAGCACCTTTTTTTAAGAAGGCACCCTTCTTTGATCATTCTCATCGTATAAGTCGGGGTCACCTTTTTAAAGTCACATTGAAACTTTTTTAGTGCGCTCTGGGATTGGTTTTTTTTTTTCTCTTCTCGCTATCCGTACACCTTGTATCCCCTTGTAAGTTATAGACGTGTGCATTTATACATTATATCTTTTCAACAAAAAACTATATGATGTAACAAAATTGGACAGTCCGCACTGTCTGGTTAAGTCTTTGCTACTCTATGTTGATCTTCATCTCTTTAAAGGTTACTTCATGTACATAGAAGCATCCAGTCCACGAAAACGAGAAGATAATGCAAAATTGTACAGTCCTCCACTGACATTCGCAAGGCACATGTGCCTTGAATTCTATTACCACATGTCTGGTGTAGCTATTGGAAGCCTGAAAGTCACCATAGATGAAAAAGTAGTGTTCTCTAGAAGCGGCCATAGAGGAAACATTTGGTATAAAGTCAGTATAAATGTATCAGCTATTGTGGGATTGCATTGGGTAATAAGCTTTTATTGTTTTTACCTCTCTTAATCTAACTAAGCCGAGATCCTCAACGATGGGAAAACGGTGTTCACTAAAGGTAGTAATAGATGAAGTAAATAGACACTAAGGAATATTTGATCATATGTTTGTAATAATTTTACTTCGGCTTTGGAGTCTAAGCAGGTTCGAAATCTTACTTTAGTCATGAATTTCTGCTTTTTGCACTTGTCAGTTAAAAAGAAGGTGAAATAGTTGACTCGATCGATCGACTGCTACTATTATCAGGCTGCATCTTAAGCTGAATCTTACCATTAGTTTTAATTTGACACAGTTAAGTATATATATCATTTGATAATAACATTTTGTAACTAATTTCAGTACAACATATATTAGTTTCTCTTCAAGTCATGAATTAACAGCAGCGCTTTCGGACTGATTATACATTCATAGAACAGTGTAATACAGCAGTACACGCTTAAGTAATTTATACACATTTCGAGCCATTGCAGCGCGGGATTGAGTGGGGTTTTTTAAAATTTCCTCACGTACCAGTTATATTTGTGAGAAAGCTTCGCGTGGTTCAGTTTTGTCTGTTATTATAATTATACAGACGTGATTAAACAAACCAGGCAACCCCAACTGCGATTACAGACTGAAATAGACTTCACTCATTCCTATTACCCTGCAGTATCTAAATTATCAGAATTATTTTCTTTTATCACAGGTGACATTTGAAGGGGTAGTTGGCAACGGTGACAGTGGTGACATAGCAATTGACGACTTCTCCTTGACAGCCGGGTCTTGTGCTTATGGTAGGTAGTTTTGAAAAAGAAACTTCTTTCCAAGATGAAAAAAAAAGCAGTCGTGCCCTATTTTTGTTAAGAAATACTTTATACTTGAGTTGTATCTTGCAAGCCCGCAGCAGCTGCCGTAGAGGCAGCGCCAATACGAAAACTCTGCCCTTTGAGAGAGTTATACGGTAGACTGACTCGACGCGCGGCGTCCCTAAGACGGTTAACGATGGCGCATCTACAGAGTTTGACTAATAGTCGCGGGTCGCGGGTCGCGGGTCCAAAGTCGCGGTCGCGGGTCCAATGTCGCGGTCGCGGGTCCAAAGTCGCGGTCGCGGGTCCAATGTCGCGGTCGCGGGTCCAATGTCGCGGCAGGGGAAAATGATTTGGGGTTCGAGGTAACAGCTGAGTGAAAACGACTGATATGAACACAATATAAAGGGAAAAAATCTTTTTTATGCACAATACTCTACGGTAGCCAATTTACAGGTTACGCATGTTAGAGTCAACAAAATAATGTCTCAAGAAAAGACCTAAAAGAAAAAGCTGGCCGACTTTTGTGTTCAGCGCAAGTTTATTTTTTTTTCTTTCTGTCGGGCCCAGTTATGTGTAAATTCAGCTTTGAATATACTTATGCATAACAGTATCTGATAAAAAAAAAAGTTACCATAAGTTACCATTGCTTTCTTGTTGTCGATGAATTGCTCACAAATGCTGAAGGGTTCAATTACTGAAAAATATGCGATACACTTCATAGACTACAGATTATAAACGTTACAACAACTTAAAGCCTTTTTTTTTAAAAAAGCGAACTCGGGCTCAAAAAGCTACGAGTCTGTCGGTAGAAGAAACGAGAACTCTTATATTTAACAAATGTTTTCGGCAAAACTGAAAGAAAATGTAAATAGGCGCATGAAACTTCATTCAAGCGGTATTCAAGGCATGAATTTAATATGGAAACAACCAATAATCCACACAAAGGAGGCTGTTCCTCGAAGCAAGATTTTCGCTTAATGCTTTTATTTTTACAACTGAGACGGCAACCCAGAGAGTTCAATATAACTTCTTGTTCTCTTCCCCTAAATGGCAACCAGGACAACCTGACAATAGGAAGCCATTCAATGTGCGTCTCAGTCAAATCTTGAAAACATGCATCGTAAATAACTAAGTGAGTAAGTAGGTAAGGAAATAATAACGCCCGATATCATGAAGCTGAAAAGGAAAGTAAACCAGACACTGAAAACGGTAAGTTATCAACTCCACCAGAGTTAAGAAAAGACAATAAATTAGGTAAGTAATTCCAGATTCCAGGTACTGGATTCAAGTCTTTGTCAGTAGAACCAAGAGACTATGATCTATTCTCTCTTAGTAGAACTTGGATTCCGGATTTCAATCGTTATCCTTTCTGTGGACAAGAGAGGATAAAGCTGGAGCTTTATCCCCTCTTGCTGTGGATTATTACTTGTTTTTTATTAATGTCATGCCTTGAATACCCGCTTGAATGTACTTTACTGGCACTTCAAGCCCAACGTCTCTCCTCCTCTTTCCAGTTACTTGTGCAAAGAGTTTATATTGGGAGTTTGTGACTTTTACGCGGGTAATCTTTTAGAGGACGGGTAGCTTGCAAACTAAACTGAACGCAGGGTTGTCGGAACAGCAACAAGAAGATTTATTCCAAAGATGAACGTAGTTTCCACTGAGTAAAACTTCACAACAGCACGTAACTCGTTAAACTTACGCGGCCTCCGCCAACTTGAATAAAAACTGCCTTCGTCACACTTGACTAAACACAACCAACGTCAAACTCTCTTCGCTTGTGAAAACTAGTTAAAACTTAACTCGGGCTCGCCTACCTTATATACGTTTACAATAAGATTCCAGAACTTTCCAAATAGTCTAATTATAGAAAGATTACAAAATATACCGCTTTTAGAAACGCTTACACAAGATCCTAAAATAAACAAATTATGAACTCTCGCGAAGCTTCTAGAAAGTCACACTAGTCACGCAATACAATTTTTAGTAACAGCGACCAGGAAGTTTTTCAACAAGCGTTTTCTTTATTTTTGCCGAAAACATTTGTTAAAATTGAAACAGTTCTCGTTTCTTCTACCGACCGACTCGTAGCTTTTCGAGCCCGAGTTAGCCTTTTTTAAAAAAGGTTTTAAGTTGTTGTAACCTTTATAGTCTATGAAGTGTATCGCACATTTTTCAGTGAATGCACCTCTAAGCATTTGTGAGTAATTCATAGACAAGAAGAAAACAATGGTTAGTTATGGTAACATTTTTTATCAGATACTGTTATACATAAGTATATTCAAAGCTGAATTTACACTTAACTGGGCCTGACAGAAAGAAAACAAAATAAACTTGCGGTGAACACAAAAGTCGGCCAGCTTTTTCTTTTAGGTCTTTTCTTGAGACATTATATTGTTGACTCTAACATCCGTAACCTGTAAATTGGCTACGGTAGAGTATCGTGCACAAAAAAGATTTTTTCCCTTCATATTGTTTTCATATCAGTCGTTTTCAAATCATTTTCCCCTGCCGCGACATTGGACCCGCGACCGCGACTTTGGATCCGCGACCGCGACATTGGACCCGCGACCGCGACCTTGGACCCGCGACCGCGACCTTGGACCCGCGACCGCGACATTGGAACCGCGACCGCGACATTGGACCCGCGACCCGCGACCCGCGACCCGCGACTATTAGTCAAACTCGCATCTACAACCCTGGTCAAAACTCTTGGGACACTAACGCAATAGCTTGTCAAATTGAGGCATCTTCCCTCCCCCCTTCCCCCTCGGTGCAGTGTTGACGTTATGTATTCAAGTTTTAACTCAACACAATCAACACTGCTTGGGAGAGAGGGAGACAGCAGAAATAGCCCCTTATAACAACATCCCCAAGCTTTTTTTAAGAGGTAGAATATGAGTTAATTTAGCAAAGTGCGTCTTTGTGCATAATTTCGTCAAGTGTCCCAAGACGTTTTGACCAAGGTTGTAGTAAGTGGACGCCCAGATTGGAAAGAAAAAAGTGGTCTACGCGGGCGAGCGGTGAGAGAGTAATCACGCCCCATCTTGACTCATCCATCTTGAGTTTTGGGTATTTACGTTTGTCTTTGGGGACAACAAAAGATTAGCGTCGGAAGACAATTAGGACGGCTGTGTATGAAAATGAGGATAAAGACCAGGAAAAGGATCGAAACTTACTCGTTCAAGTTCTTTCAATATGCCTCTGATAATAATTGTCGTTATAGAAACTTGACAGCAGTTGTATTTCATCACGACGGCGCGCGGGAAGCAATTTCTTTGACGGATTGAAAAAGTACTGTGGGGTAGGGAAGTGATAGAGGGAAAACCACCCATATCTTTTCAAAGCAGAAGTACTAAAAATATTCTTTATAAATCTATCTAGATAGGTATATTTTTTAGTGAAATATTGAAAAAGGAATGACCCGGAGGGAGGGACCATCTCTATTGTTTTCATGTGTTTGTCTGTGACTGATTCATCACTGCCAGTGTCACGTCACATAATAACGGGCGAGTGCCAGTCGGGTCGCATGTGCAAATTTGCAAGGGACACCGTAGTCATTCGAACCAGAGAGGTCGGGGAAAAAGTAAAAACCTAGGCAGATAGACCATAAGTGAGTTTGACTAATAGTCGCGGGTCGCGGGTCGCGGGTCCAATGTCGCGGTCGCGGGTCCAATGTCGCGGTCGCGGGTCCAATGTCGCGGTCGCGGGTCCAAGGTCGCGGTCGCGGGTCCAATGTCGCGGTCGCGGGTCCAATGTCGCGGTCGCGAGTCCAAAGTCGCGGTCGCGGGTCCAATGTCGCGGCAGGGGAAAATGATTTGAAAACGACTGATATGAAAACAATATGAAGGGAAAAAATCTTTTTTGTGCACGATACTCTACGGTAGCCAATTTACAGGTTACGGATGTTAGAGTCAACAATATAATGTCTCAAAAAAAGACCTAAAAGAAAAAGCTGGCCGACTTTTGTGTTCACCGCAAGTTTATTTTGTTTTCTTTCTGTCGGGCCCAGTTAAGTGTAAATTCAGCTTTGAATATACTTATGTATAACAGTATCTGATAAAAAATGTTACCATGAGTAACCATTGTTTTCTTCTTGTCTAGGAATTGCTCACAAATTCTTAGGGGTGCATTCACTGAAAAATGTGCGATACACTTCATAGACTATAAATTATAAACGTTACAACAACTTAAAACCTTTTTTAAAAAAGGCTAACTCGGGCTCGAAAAGCTACCTCCGGTGAATTAAGGAATGGGTCCTCGTTACATGTGGGGTTGTATGACTTGATCTTGTTTTTTCCAGTATCTTCCTTTATTTTACTCGTAGACCGCTGTGTTTAGGACCAGAACCACTTTGGACCTTAAACACTCCTTTTTTTAGATCACGTGACCAGCCACGCCCATAATTATGCAAAATTTGGACTTTGCAGATTACACCAGTTTACTGAATGTTACCACAATCGTTTTTCCTTCCATAATATTTCATTTACAGTCAAATAAGCTAAATTAATCGGGGATTTGTGAAATGATCCATTCCTTCGTAATTATTAGATATTTTTCTCTCGTCCCAGTCTCCCTCTTAACAAGAAACGTTATAGTTTACAAAACGTAGATAATTTAAGAAAACCCCGATTAATTCCATAAAGTTTGTGTCAATAGTCATTGAAAAAAAGTGAATTAAATTACAAGTGTTATTTATAAAGCGGTGTAAATTTGGATTGAAATAAAAAGTCAAAAATGGGTGTGGCAAGTCACGTGACAGAGATAATACATTAGTAACAATGAAAAATGAATGCTTATGGGGAGTAGATATTGAATTTAAAATATTAATGCGAAAGGCAAAATCCCTACTAAAACAGACCACCCCCCTCCAAATTTGCAGTGCCCCATTCCTTAATTCACCGGAGCGAGTCTGTCGGTAGAAGAAACGAGAACTGTTTCAATTTTAACAAATGTTTTCGGCAAAAATAAAGAAAACGCTTGTTGAAAAATT